GTTATCCTTTGTAAGAGACACTTACATTTGTACGGAAAATCTCCATTTGTGAAGGTATCTCCCTCTCTGTACCACGAAGAAGGGGAGACGACCTTATCTCTAGAAACTCTTATCAATGCAGAAGGCTAGACTTAAATTTGCATAATAACTTTACTCTTGTTTACTGTCCTTTTCTGGTAATCTCCCATAACTGACTCCCCCCACCCCTAACATCCTCCTTTGTCTTTAGCTGAAGATAGTATTTAAGGTAACAGCCTCTGCCATTTTAGAGAGTTACTCAGTTTTCCTGGGTCTCTCCCATGTATACATGTTATAAATCTTTGTTTGATTTTTCTCCTGTTATTCTGTCTCACGTCAATTTAATTCATAGCCCAGCCAGAAGGACCCGGAGGGTAGAGGATCTGTCTTCCTCTCCTACAATACAAACTACTAAACCCCACTCAAGAGGAAAAAGATAACCTGAATAGGCCCATATCTACCAGAGAAAACGAAATTGTAGTAAAAAGTTTTCCCACAAAGAAAACTCCTGACACAAGTGGCTTCACCAGGAATTCTACCAAACATTTAAGAAAGAACTAATACCAATTCAACACAAACTCTTCCAAATAATTAAAGAGGAGGGAATACTTCCAACTCATTCTATGAATTTGTTATCTCTGATAACAAAACCAGAACACACTACAAAAATAAACCAATATGCTTAATGAACATAGATGGAAAAATTCTAAACAAAATATTCTAGCATATATTAAAAAGATAATACATTATAACCAAGGGAGTGAGAGAGTTGCAAATTCATAACAAGGCAACGGTTTAACAAGTGAGGGTGGACGAGGCATTGACAACTAATAGTTCCAGTGCCCAAGCCCTATTGGCTTCGCAGATTCCAGAGATGGAGTGACAAATACAAATACAAAATTTGTATTTACCCAAAATAGCACATGTTCTAAAGTAACTGTTATTCTTGCACTGATGGAACTTATATTGTTCTTAGATAAATATAATACATTAGCCATTCTAAAAATGGCTTTGGTGATGCTATTGATTCTTGGATTCCACTTGATCAGAGGAAAACTGTCTTTTTAGGACTTGGGGATTGCTTTCAGCAACCTGAAACAATCACTATAAAGCAATTTTTATAGTGTGCCACAAAGGTCTAAAGAGATGTGAATTAGTACAGTATAAAAATATTATGACATTGGATTTGGCAATGATTTCTTGGATATGACATCAAAAGGCACAGGTAACAAAAAAAGAAATAGACAAATTGGATACATTGGATTTGGCAATGATTTCTTGGATATGACATCAAAGGCACAGGTAACAAAAAAAGAAATAGACAAATTGGATTTCCTGAAAATTAAAAATTTTGTGCATCAAAAGACACTACCTACAGAGTAACAAGGCAACCCACAGAATGGGAGAAAATATTTGCAAATCATATATTTGATTAATATCCAGAATATACAGAACTTCTAAAACTCAACAATAACAAAAAACCTGATTCAAAAATGGGCAAAGGACTTGAATAGACATTTCTCCAAAGAAGATATACAAATGGCCAATAAGCACATAAAAACATGCTCAACATCACTAATAATTAGGAAAATGCAAATCAAAACTACAATAAGATACCACCTCACACCCATTAGGATGGCTACTATCAAAAAAACAGAAAATAACAAGTGTTGGTGAGAATGTGGAGAAAAGGGAACCCTTGTGCACTGTTGGTGGGAATGTAAAATGGTACAGCTGCTGTGGAAAACAGTGTGGTGGTTTCTCAAAAAAATAAAAACAGTATTACCATATGATCTAGCAATTTCACTTCAAAAGAATTGAAAGCAGAGTCTCAAAAAGATATTCGTACATCCATGTTCAGAGCAGCATTATTCACAATAGCTAAAATGCAGAAGCAATCAAAATGTCCATTGACTGATAAAGGGATAAACAAAATGTGGTATATACATACAATGGAATATTATTCAGCCTTAAAAAGGAGGGAAATTGTGCAATATGCCATAACATGGATGAACCTTGAGGACGTTATGTTAAGTGAAATAAGCTGGTCACAGAAGGACAAATACTGTATGATTCCACTTATATGAGGTACTTTATTGTTGTTAGTGCCCTAGAGTTGATTTTGACTCTTAATGACCCTGTGTACAGCAGAGCAGAACCCTGCCTGGTCTTTTTGCACTATCCTCTCTAACCTTCCAGTGCCATATTAGACAATGCTCTGCTGCCATTCATGGCCATTTTTTTCAGAAGTGGGTGGCCAGGTCCTTCTTCCTAATCTGTCTTATTCTGGAAGCTCCACTGAAACCTGTCCATGGGGACAGAGTATTTGAAATATGGGTGGCACAGTTTTCAGCATCATGCAGTTGCCACAGTAGGACAACTGACACACGGGTGGTGTAGTTCCCTGACCAGAAATGAAGTGGCGGTGAGGTGCTGAATCATAACCACTAGACCACCAGGGCTGGTTATATGAAGTACTTAGAGTAGTCAAAATCATAAAGACAGAAAGTGTAATGGTGGCTGCCAAAGGCTAGGGGGAGAGGAGAATGAGGAATTATTGTTTAATAAGTATAGAGTTACAGTTTCATAAGATGAAAGGAGTTATCGGGATAGATGGTGGTGATGGTTGCACAACAACGTGAATGTATTTAATACCATTGAACTGTACACTTAAAAATGGTTAAGATGGCAAATTTTATATTATGTTTTATATTATATTTTACCACAATAAAAAAAGAAAAAAAATTAGCTCACAGTCATGGAGGTAGTTATAGTCATTCACCACAGTCTGATAATTCAGAAGCTACATTATGGAAGCAAAGCTAAGAAGATTATGGTGTACTGTGCCAACTTCATTTCAGGGTAGCTTTGCCCCATGAAGATAGGAAGAGTCAATATGTAAAACACTTAGCATAGTACCTGGCACTTAATACGTATTTAGTAAAGAGTAGCAGCAGCCAGGGGCTCAAAGAGATAGTGGGGGCTATGGCACAGCTGTACAAGGTCATAGTTTAACAGCTGAAAGCCCATGTGGGAAGTCATGGATATCTCTGGAAAATATAAGCACTTGCCTAGGTAGAGGAATGGTAAGTGGTTTTAGGGATCTGCAGAGGCAACGAGGCAGGCCAGGCACCTAGAAAGCTGGCTACGGCCATCCACCTCTAGATGTCCTGCATGTAATAGGTCACTATTATATTAGGATAAAAAGACAAGGGTGTATCCCCCGGAAAAGCACATTTCTTTTCTCGTGTGATTAAACTTCAGAGTTTAAATCCTCCGATTAAATTTGGATAATGTTATCTCTCTCTCAGAGACTGTTCTGATGACAAAGAGAATCTAGAGGAAAAACACAATTAGCAAGCTCTGATTTTAAGTGATTTTTAACTCGAATTTTACTACCAAGTAAATAACCTAAGAAAAATGAACTTCTTATTTTCTTCTTCTTACTAGATGAAAGCAGAAACCACAGTACTATTGAATTACATTTTTGTAGTAGAACTTTTCTTTCTTTAGTTTCCATCTACTCAACTTTTCCAGAGACAAAATAATAATAATAATTAAATTATTTTGTTAGAATTACAAAAAGCAAAGTAAGTCTTGAAAGCATTTCCTATAAACAACAAAATCAACATGTTAGGGCCTAAATTTCTGAATTTCACTGAAGTTTTGACTAAAAAACTTAAGACTCTTGTCAATGACCAAATAAAGACTCAAATTGTAGGTTGCACCCATGGTACAATCAACCGTGGGTGAAGTAACTGTAATTGTTACTTCAGCGCCTACATTTTCTAGGGGTTTTATTTTGAAACTGCGGTCTTCAAAGAACGAGTGACGGACAGCCAGTGTGATTCACTAAGCTGGTGCCCACGCAAAGTGGAGGCCACAGAGCAGTAAATACTGGGGTTGGATCTTGAAAAGTTTCTGACTGATAGAAAATTCTCAGATGAGTCATTAAGCTCCTAGCTTAAGTTCATTATGAAGGTAACACCTTCTTGATTTGGATGTATATCTGACAGAAGTAGACCAACCTATTTTTGAGAAGAAAAACCTAGTATTATAAGCTGACTATATATAATGGGGGAAGAAAATGTATTTCTTAAAAAGAAATATGCCCCTGTTTCTGAGGAAAACAGCTCTTCAACTTTAGTTCTACTGCTTATTTATTTTGGAAAGATTCATTAAAACTGAGACTGTAGAATGAGGAACAAGCTGTTGGCCTAGTAGCCATTTTTCAGGAAGAAGAATTATCTATTGAATCATATAGATTGGGTCAAAGTTATCCAAGTGTTTGTATGGGTAAGCCCACACCTATATTTAGAATTCTAGAAAATAAATAAATAGCAGTAATTTCCGGCTAAAAAATAACCAAGACAGGACCAGGGCTGAGAATAAATAGCTGTAAAGCTATATTAAATTGTTCTAGGACTGAAGATGGTTTTCAAGCTCCAAGGGTTCATGTCTTACTTCTTTTTTATTTATTTATTTATTTTTTAATTATTTTTTTTTTGGTGAGGAAGACTGGCCGTGAACTAACATCCATTGCCAATCTCCCTCTTTTTGCTTGAGGAAGATTGTTGCTGAGCTAACATCTGTGCCAATCTTCCTCTATTTTGTTATGTGGGATGCCGCCACAGCATGGCTTGATGAGCAGTGTGTAGGTCTGTGCCTGGGATCCGAACCCACGAATCAACCCCGGGCTGCCAAAGCGAAGTGCACAAACTTAACCACTATGCCACTGGGCCAGCATACTTCTAAGGCTTTTAGGAACACCACAAAATCCATCTCCCTATCCCCAATCCCCAGCCTCTATGTCCATTTATTAATGTCTAGATTTTTACTATTCATGTTTCATTCTTATAGTTTAAGGCCTGGTTCCTACTTAAAAGCAAATATCCCTGCAGGTTTGGGGATACCTTTACCCAGTTGGCCCCATAACCGAGTATGAAAGAAACCTTTGAGATTAAGTTTCCTTAACACGGTAGAAAAAGCAGTCATAAACGAATTGGAAGTCTGAAGCAGGGGAAAATAAGAGGGCCAATGAAGTTGGAAAAGGGTATGGAACAAGGCTGGGGAAACCATATATTTCCCCAATTTGCCTGGTCAACTCTCCCTGGGAGGTCCCGTTTGGGTCCTTAGAAGAAGCAGAAAAAGGTTCTCAATTCATAGCAAAGTGGAAGGAGTTCAAATTCAATGTACGTAAGTGGCAGCAGGTTTTTCTGTGTATCATCAAACACTTGCAAAAGTATGCACATCTGCTGGTGTGAGAGCACAAATGTGAAAGTATATGGGTACACACAAGCACGTAACAGTCGTTAAACTTAAATCACTTACTTGTTTTGAAGTATAGACTCATTAAATTAAAAGAAACCTCAGAAAGAGCTTAATTTTTTCAGTGACACATGGGGATGCTGAGACACAGAGAAGTAAAGGGACATAACCAAGGTCACACAGCTAATTAGAGCAGTGATAAAACCAGAAAATGATGTTTTCTAAGATACTAAATAATCCGGCCACATCCTCTCTTTCTCAACTTCCTGGGTACGTAGATGTCATCCTGCAGGCGCAAGTGCTAAATGCTCTGTATGCTAAACATACTCTTTGCTTTCCCACCATCATGACATTGCTTAAGCTATTTCTTCCACTTGGAATCTCTCCTTCCAATCTCTAATGGTTAAAATCCTACCCATTCTGCAAGAGCCTATTCAAATGCTACCTCTTTCAAACTGCCTTCCCTAGTTGCTCCCTCTCCATTTCATATCCGTTATGGACTGACCGTTTGTGTCCCCCTAAAATTCATATGTTGAAGCCCTAACCTCCTGTGTGGTTGTATTTGAAGGAAGTAATTAAGGTTAAATGAGGTCATAAGGGTGCTGCCCTGATCTAATAGGATTAGTGTCCTTATAAGAAGAGACACCAGAGAGTATCTGGTATCTCTCTCTCTTCCTCTCTTCTCACCACCACCCCACTGCATATATGCACTGAAGAAAGGCCACGTGAGGACATAGTAAGAAAGCTACTGCAAGCCAGAAAGACAGTCTTTAACCAGAAACTGAACTGGTCAGAACCTTGATCTTGGATTTCTAGCCTCCAGAACCATGAGAAAATAAATGTTTGTTGTGGAAGCCGCCCAGTCTCTGGTATTTTGTTATGGCAGCCTGAGCAGACTAAGACACTATCTTACACAGAACTTTGTTTATACTTCTCTAACAATTATTTCATTCTATTTTTACATTTAGGACTATTTTTGTTCAAGAATGTGCTGAAATTACATGTTAGAACCTCTCTCAGAATTACACAAGATAGAACAGGTTTTGACAGATTTTAGTTGGAATGTGGTAAAATGTAATAGCAATAGAGAGTATTGGTAATTGTATTACAACAAAAATGATCAAGGTACAGAAGGTTTTTTAAAATAAGTAATACTCTATTGTTTTATAAGAAAATTTATTGTATGAAATCAGTTCCTATATTGTTCTTATTTTTGCATGTTTATTAAGAGATGATAAATATTTATCAAAAGGCCAACAATTTATTAGGCTTTAAGAACTAAGCATTTCTATTAATTAATTAAACATAAATAGTTTAAAAATTTTGTGTACAGAAAAGGGTCTCTTCTAATAGATTTTGAGGGCAGAAACATGGCACATCTTGGCATCAACTCAAATGTCTGGTTAAAGTATCTTAAACATAGGTATTGGAGATATACAAAATTTTGCTTATTGAATTCTAAACAGGTTAATTACATATTTTCCAGGGATTTGCTTCTAACACTACATTTTTTATTCTAATTTTATTATCTGGAAATGTCACCCAAGAGTATAGTGACATTCTCTAATTTCTCACAGTCATTCCAGATGGTTCTCTGAGTTTTTCCTGGTAATCCCCTGACATCAATACTAAAGCACTATTATGACTGAGGGTTCTCTCTGCTTTCATTTCCCTAGTACTTAAATCTCCCTCTGAAAGTGGTCTCTCTTTATCTTGATGCCTTTCACATCAGGTAAAAATCTATCAGTGACTAACAGGGACAACTGCAAAGTTGCAGAAATTAAACACAGACCTCATGAGTTAGGTACAAAATGTTTCCCTTTGGACATAAAGGGAATTTGCTGCGTCACCGAGTCAAGTATTTATAGCATCACATAATTTATCTTCTGCTGTAATAACTTCTGTAATTCAGCAGCTCCTCCACAAGTCTCCATCAAATCTATGATTTCTCAAAAATGCTAACAATGCTGACTAATAAGAAGGAAACAGTGCTACCTAAGCAAAATTAAACTAGAAGAGTAACCTATTTATAAAGTGCTCTTTAGGAACAAGTCGTTAATAGAATCTTTGCTTTTGCTACCCGCAAAGAGTGTCATGAGTTTTGCATTTTACATTCTTTTCTCAATTATGTTATTGGGGTGTACCTCACCAAAAGTCTTCTAATTCCTATCCTTAGGCCTTTTCTCTACTACACCACACAACCAGAAGAAGCTAAAAGCTACAGGTTGTAAAGCTGGCATCCTGTTAGCTGCATCTGGCCGCAGATGTGTTTTGTTTTGGCTGTCTAGGGTTTTTAAAAAATTAAGCCAACATTTAAAAACAAAGAGATTCTACATAAAAGCTAAATTTCTAGGGTCAGCCCAGTGGCGCAGCGGTTAAGTGCGCATGCTCCGCTGCTGGAGGCCTGGGTTCGGATCCCGGGTGCGCACTGATGCACCGCTTGTCAGGCCATGCTGTGGTGGCGTCCCATGTAAAGTGGAGGAAGATGGGCACAGATGTTAGCCCAGGGCCAGTCTTCCTCAGCAAAAAAAAGAGGAGGATTGGTATGGATGTTAGCTCAGGGGTGATCTTCCTCACACACACACACACACACACACACACACAAGCTAAATTTCTAGCTTCTCTTGAAAAACTGAACGATGTGGTAACAATGTTCCTGTATTCCTGCATGGTGACAACTGCTGGAGCTGAGCAGTGGTGGCCCTCATTAGATGTGCTCTTCCTTTGGCTTGCTTAACTCATTTGCATTATCTGTTTGGCCTCTGTAGGCACTTGGTTTGTAATCCTTGCTAAAAGCAAACTATGCTACAGATAACTTTCCATGTGGATCTCTCCCTAAGTACTCTAATTAACACTTGTCTGTTATTCTAGCCTACTAAATGGCCTCTGTTCCTCCAACCTCCCCATCCTCCCCAACATCTTCCACACTGCTCTAAGTTTCTGAAACACATTCACGTCACTGCCCTGTTCCGGAGTATGCTATTGCATGCTTCTTAGCGACTAGAGAATAATATTAGTCTAAACTCCTTAACGTGACGTTCTAGGCATTCTGTGATTTGATTCCAAATTACCTTTCCTGTCATATTTTCCACATCTAATGACTAAGTAGATTGACACTATCCTAAAAGGAAGTGTCAAGTGGCCCGCTATTAAGTTCTGCCCTTTTCAACATTTTATCAATGATTTAGATGACAGGAAGCATGATTTTCAAATTTAAGTAGGAGAAGGAATATGAAATATTTATAATTTATTTACATCCATTCTGTGAGATGCGTGCCTTAATCCTTTTACTGCCTTTGGTAAGTGCTCACCATGGAAAACAGAAAGATCTGGGGTCAACAGTGTTTTAAGACTACACACATGTCAATCATAAACATAAAGATACTAATGCTCTTTCGTCTCTTACCCATGGTAAGCATACCTAAAGCATTTTTGGATCTTATTTTTTCAAGACAATGAAGAAAAACAGGATGACAGATAAAGGATATAAATGAATTGAAGCAATGATTAAATAAAATAAGATTTACATTTGGACAGAAAGCTCTCTGCACAGCACTGGCACCTAAGGGTAAATTATACTATAACCACAAACATTTTTCAGAGCACCACAGATGTGTTTAGTACTCTGCTGGGGGCTGGGATGGTAATTCTAAAATGTACTGTCACGTACAAAGTTTTAAAACATTGGGATGAAACCATTAAAACAGCCTATAGTTGTGTTAGGAAGAACAAAAATAACTGTCAATTGTGACACAGCATCCCACTATAGAGAAAGTTATGCTGTAAAAATGTACAGTTTATTAATTCCAAAAAATATGATATAGTCCAGAGAATTTTCTTTACTCAATCCTTCTAGAGAATTCAAATTCCACTCCTGGTGGGCCAATTTTTCATGATAACACTTCGGCATGGGGCATGCCCAGATGTCACTTGCAATGTACTTCTCAGAAGTCATGTCAGTTTCAGCTAACTTTCTTGGATGGAAAAGATAACAGATTTTAGCTTTGGCTAAGTATAGTCTCTGGAACTGCCCCTGACCCCAAAATTAAACAAATGAATTTGTTTTGTAAGGAAAACAAGAAAGCAAAATGTCTGGGTTTTCCATAGCTTTCCTTGTAAACCACAGATCTTTATAACATAATGAGTCAAATCATCAGACATGCAATTGGGAAATCAATTACTTAGTAAACAGACAAAAATTCTGGTCCAATACAAATGTCTCCTTAACTTGAGAGACAGCAAAAATGCAAATGACAACCAGAGAACATTTCAGAAAAGGCATTCTAGGGCTTGCTTGAGCAAAAAGAAACCTCTTCATTATTTGTTAACCTCTGAGAATTATGAATTAGTACTTTCATTGTTATATTATAGAAAATTTCCTAAAAAATTCACAGATATTGGGATGAAGCCAGTAAAATTTTGATTGTAACCACAAAGAAGAACAAGAATTATTAATGGTGACACAATATCCTGAATCACAGAAGGTATACAATTGCATACTTCAGCAGATATTTGTAATATGCGAAGTAATTTAGCATGATGGGGCCACTGATTAGCACTTCCACATATGGTGTTCTATTTTTGTGAAACTTCTAATACAGTTCTTGAAAATGTCTTCTCTTGCACTAATTGATATTTCTTTTCAACCATATTCCACGGCAAAGTTAATAAAATATTGTTTCATTTATGTTGGTCCCCTCACCCAAGCACCTATAACAGTTCCTTATTGATCATATCTGGATGTCAGAACTTGGCATAAAGGTCTATATAAGGATAATAATGATATTAGCTAACACTTACCTAGAACTTACTAGGTACTAGTATTTCTGCTATCTATTGCTGCATAAAAATAACAGCTCAAAAGTTAGTGGCTTAAAAACAACCATTCCATTATCTCTCACTATTTTATAGGTTGACTAATGGTTAGAAGAATGAATTCTGGATTCAAACTACCTGAGTTTAAATAATTCTGGGTAATTTTTCTGTGATTTATCTTATTCATCTGTTAAAGATAAAAGTAGGGTTTTTAATTTCATAATCTCTCAGGGTTATGATTTTGAGGATCAAACGGCATGTTACACGTAAGGTGCTTACTACAGTGTCTGGTACGCAGGAAATGTTCAGTCAATGCTAGGTATTATTATTATTGCATTTTATAAATTCTTTTTCCCCAACTCAATTATAATAAATCACAAGCTCCTCAAAGGCAGAAGCTAGATCTTCTATGTTGAGATTCCTCATTTAGCCTACCAAAGGGTTCTCAAGACAAAGAAAGAGCTGAATAAATATTTTTTGATTTGAATAGGTGCAATGAATTAATATAGGTATCCTTCATTTTTCATCAACCTGTCTTTTAGAATTTTAAACTTACAGATCTGAAAAAAGGGCATGAATTTATTTTTTGGACCCTAAAATCTCAGGTTTTTTCCTCCTAGCATGGATAGTACTGTCTTTACAACCACTGTCTACTGGTCAAGTATGTTATTAAGCTATATTAGACATTATCAGCATTTTCACAGAAGTTGCTCAAGGTTTTGAGACCCTTAAAGATTTTTGAGTCCGACTATGGAACTTTTAAGACATTGATGTCCAGGCCTCAGCCCCAGAGATTTTGATTTCAACTGGCCTTTGATGGGAGCTTTGCATCTGTTGCCTTTAAAATCACTCCAGGTGATTCTAACATGGAGCAGGGTTGAGAATCATGGATCCAGGCCCAAGGATTAGAGCTCATATAGAGCGATGAGTGATCTGGAATCAGGGGACTTGGGCTCCTGTACTGAACGTCAAATAATCAATCCAATTCAATAAACTTTCTGGTGACATACTCTGGACCATTTGAAGATGGGAGTGGGTTTCAAATCTTTTTTTTTTTAAATGTAGTTTTAGCTTTTCTTCAAATGAAATCTTATTTGTAAGTTCAATGTATGTAAAAGAAACAGAAGGGAAGGGGGTTAGGATCAGGAATTTCTGCCATATTGCATTAGCTTTCCCACTGCTCTTCTCAGTAGGAAGCTGACTCTTAACTCTTCATTTTTCTACTAGTTTTGGTGGCACACTTGCTCCTTATCCCAAGGCGGCAGGTTTCACTTTTCCTGGAGCACAACTGAAATGAGGACAAGCATTTGTCATAGAAATGTGGGTACACAAAACATTTGTGCTCACAAAAACCCTGGCCCAGGAGGGTCCCTATCTGCTGAAGCCCTATGGGTGGCACTGCATTCTGTGCCCAGGTTCTGACTTCTCACTTAAGACTCTCCTACGTGTCTTCTGAGGTAAATCAAGAATTAGCCACTCTTCTCCAATTACTCTTGGTAATATTTAAAGAAAACCTAACAAAATAAGTTATGTATTCAATCACGTAAACACATTCCAAACATTTCCTGGAAACACCCTAAGCAGTATATATATATAAACCAAAGCTTCTGGGACCTAGATATTCAAATAGTGTAATTACTTCCCATTACTACACATGATGTCAACACTTCCAAGTGGCTCATGTACTTTTAATTGCATTATTTAAATATTTTGAAATATTCTTTAAATAATTTAAAATCTATAGTCTAATATTTTCTTCCAACCCTCGTGTTGCCCATGAACAAAACCCTGTCTAGTCTAGGCCTGTATAATTCACAATCATCCCCACCCCCCTGCCACCCCAAGTTAAAAAGGTGGGACAGTGGGTAGAAATAGCAGAGATCTTACTGGTTCGAAGTAAAACCACAGTGGACATTAAGGCTGGCTAGTTCCTTTCTCAATCTGAGAGACACAAACATTTTATACTGTATTCTTTACATGGTAATAGCAAAGTAAAAAGAGATATACTTTGGGAGAAGTCCATTTTCTCTAGAAGATGAAAATATTCAAAGAAATTTTCATGTTTTGATTAAGTTATTCTGTGATAAAAATTTTATTTTTAAATCCATACATCAGCCATTATTTGATTGTCCTAGAATCCTGCAACAGGATCCATGACACCAGGTAAACCAAGGCCAAGGCAGAATCAGAATCAGACTCACAGAGGATGACCTCTGCAGCCCTGCCCCCTCTAAAAAAGAAAATGTACTTGGAGGGGCCAATAGAATACATCAAATTCCCTGCTATTGTAGAAAAAAGTAGAATCTAGCTTCAACTTATAATTATATTTCTTTTCTCATTGTTTTCCTGCAAAATAAATTATTAGTTGATTTTTGATGGCACTACATAACCTACTAAAAGACTGCTCAAATTATCGACTTTCTTGTAACTTCTATTCCAAAGTAGGAATTTTGCAATTTCTCTTGATCTCCTACATATGATTCTCTTGTTTTGTCTCATTCTTTGTCTTTTCTTTCTTTTCTCATTCCATAGATTTTTTTTCCAAGTTTCTGACCTTTATTATTTTCTCTTCTTTCTCCTCCCAATAGGGCTTGGTAATCTCTCTTTAGAAGACTTTCAAATGTATATCTTTAGCCAGACCTATCTTTCAAATTAAAATTCTGCAATTTTCAGTGTTTTCTACACAGCTCCACATAGAAGTTCTATAGCAGAGGCTACAAACTGGCAGTGTGCAGTATTGTTTTGAACTTTATTATTAATAATTAGGGAATTTTTAAAAAGCAGATTTCTATCTTTCGAAAAGTGCAAGACTTGGCACTGTGCCCACATTACTGGAATTAAAGAGAAGATGTTCCATTAACATGGAACAAGCATTCTCCAGTTCTGTACAATTTCCACTTCAATCATTTACATTGGTTGTCTGGCTTTTTTAAGCATCTGAGTTTGCAAGCTTGTTAAAGAGGATAAGAAGAATAGATAGCAGGCCTGAATAGAACTTTTTAATTCCTTCTACCCCAAAATGTCAAATGTTTAGCGACAGTCTGCTTCAAAACATATATTTGCGATACCATTGGGGAATTAGTCAGATGTTTTGTTTGTTTTCAGTTTGAGTAATCAGCATATGACCTTTTAGTAGGGAGTGTACAGCCTGATAAGTAGAGCAGGGTGTATGTGTGTATGGCGGGGAGGATGGTTCTCATGGAGCCCTTGGAGGGTTATCTTCCAAAGTTCTCCTGACTCAAGAGCAATATACAAACCATGTCCTCCATTCTTATACAACTCTCCCCTTCCCCACATTACCGATTTGTTATTGCCATCAAAACTCAGCACAGAAACAAGAATTAACTGGACAGTTGGTTTGAGTGTTGATTCTTGTGTTAGATAACCAATATGTCCACATATAGGACTTCAGATTGGCTTTTACTACATTCATAACACTTCCTGGGAGAACTGAGCTAAACTTGACAAGAGGAAGAAGAGGAGGAAAAGCTGTAATAACAACAAAAAAATCAGCAGTAATCATTAACATTTATTGAAGGCTTATTATGTGCTGGGCAGTAAGCACTTTACATGTGCTATCGCATTTAATGCTTATAATAACCCTATAAGGTAGATATCATCACCCTTATTTATAGTTAATGACACTGTGGCACAGAGAAGTAAAATAACATGCCCAAGGTCACAGAGCTATTAAGTCCCAGTCAATCTGACTCCAGTGTCCACTCACTAGAGGTTAAATTTTGTGAAGCTGGAAGGAAGCTGTATTTTGGAAGCTGTGTACTGTAAAGTGGTTAAAGGGATGGATTCTGGAGTTACACAAAACTGGAGTATGAATTCTAGTTATTACTCTTTTCAAATAACAACTTTGGGCTTTGTTGATCACCTGTACTGCATTTTTGTTTTCTCATTTCATTAATTTCCTTCATTCATTATTAAGGACCGATTATGTACCAGGGGATGGGGATATATCGGTGAACAAATGGAACTTCCTGCTTTCCTGGAGCCTCCATTCTAGTGGCAAGACACGGAAAATAAATATGATAAAAACATGTGATGCACACATACACACAAAAGAGCAGGGAAGAGGGAGTGAGGGTGCTGGAGAGGGATGGGTAAAATTTTAAATAGAGTTATCAGGATAGAC